ACGTATCTAGCTGTAGATGTGCTGCGCTCCGCTACTCAACTCTCTTTAATGAAGTACTATAGAACCATGCTGTCCTGGGGGAGAGTTGTTCTTTGACTGCATGTCCTTTTTGCAAGCATAGGCAGGATTTTGGAGTTAGGGGGGATTTGCCTGTGAGGCAGAGACGGGGGGAGGGAGGAGGAGGAGGGGGGAGTTTTTTACCTTGACCTGAGCAAGTGGTGGCCTGTACCGCTCTAATGCTTCCCTTGATACCTTGAATACCTTTACCTTTCTGTTGTACACATGCATATCTAGTGTTTTAATCACTTTAGTATTTGTTTCTCACATACTTCCATGTTGTCTCTCAGGCATACATGAGCATAGACACACCCCATCTCTTTCTCTCCCTCCCTCATCTTTCTCTCGTCGCGGTCCCCTGCTCGCTCACGCTCTCGTAGCGCTCGCGATGGCTCGCTCGCGAGCTCTCGCGCGCCCGGCAGCACACCCGCGGCCAGCCCCGCCCTCAGCCCCAACTCAAACCCACGGCGCCGCGCCCGGCGCTCTCTCGTCTGCGCTCGCATGCGCTTCTCGCTCGTCGCTCTGCGTCAGCCCAACCGCCTGCCATCCTTCGCTCTCTCTCCGCTCTCTCTCTCTCTCTCCCTCATCCCACACTCGTCCATCCTCTGTCTCTCCACTCTCTCCCTTCATTCCTTCTCCCATCCCCTCTTCATCTTTCTCCTCTCCCCCCCCCCCCCTCTCACTCTCTCTGTCTCTGGGTCTCTCTCTCGCTCTCTCTATCCTAGTGCAGATGGTCCTGTCCCATTCCACAGGCAGAGATAATTAATTGATCTCTCCTCTCTCTCCACCAGTTCCCCTATGCATGCCTTCACTCCTCCACTCCACCCATCCAGGATAAACCCTCCCTCTCTTCTTCCCTTTCTCTTCCTCATCTCTGCTAGAGGTCAAGCGTTTTTTGCTTCCTCTCTTTGTCTGGGAAGACCAGACCGATGAGTCAATGGAAAGTTTTGCACCACATTTAAATGGTTCAGACAGGAGGCATCAACTCATACAGGTCTCTCTCTCTCTCTCGTTATGTTTTCTTTTAGCTTTCCTGTCATGGACAAGCCAATGCAGTAGAGTATTTATCCTGTGTGTTTGTGTGTGCCACTGATCTGCCCCACGGCTCTCCCTTAATGTGTGTCATCCTCATCTCCTGCAGATGGCAAGGAACAGACGCCTCCCTTAGATAGGATTGGAAAATAATTGGATAAGCGCTACACACACACAGACACACACACACACACACACACACACACACACACACACACACACACACACACACACACACACACACACACACACACTACACACACTACACACACTACACACTCACACAAACATGCACAAACATAAACACACACACATACTTACAAAGACCTCACATACTAGGAGAGAGAGAGAGAGAGACCCGGAATCCAAAGAGATTAAAGAGAGGGAAAGTTGACAGAGATGGGAGGTATAGAAAGCTGTCAGTCAGAAGGAGAGCGAGTTCCTCTGTTCCTGCCTCTAAATTGGTGGCCCCATGCCGTGGAGTCTTGATCGCATCATCAAAGTGTGACAGGCTGAGGCGTACTGTGTTCCCCTGGTGAGACCTCCCGCTGTTAAGCCTCCTCCCCAGAGCTGCCAAAGACATTATGTGAAATGCACTGGAGGAAACACACAATGCAGTTACTTTAAAACACACACACACACACACACACACACACACACACACACACACACACACACACACACACACACACACACACACACACACACACAGGTGTTTACATACAGTACCAGTCAAAAGTTTGGACACACCTACTCATTCCAGGGTTTTTCTTAATTTTTTACTATTTTCTACATTGTAGAATATAGTGAAGACATCAAACCTATGAAATAACACATCATGTAGTAACCAAAAAAGTGTTAAACAATAATGAACAGTAACAGCAGCGTATGTGATGAGTCAAAAGAGTTAGTGCCAAAAGGATCAGTTCAGATAGTCCAGGTAGCTATTTGGTGAAATGTTTTTATGGCTTTGGGGGTAGAAGCTGTTCAGGGTCCTGTTGGTTCCAGACTTGGTGCATCGGTATTGCTTGCCCTGCAGTAGCAGAGAGAACAGTGTATGACTTGGGGGGCTGGAGTCTTTGACAATTTTTATGGCCTTCGTCTGACACCGCCTGGTAGAGAGGTCCTAGATGGCAGGGAGCTCGGCCTCAGTGATGTACTGGGCCATACGCACTACCCTCTATAGCGCCTTGCGGTCGGATGCCAAGCAGTTGCCATACCAAGTGGTGATGCAGCCAGTCAAGATGCTCTCAATGGTGCAGCTGTATAACTTTTGAGGATCTGAGGGCCCATGCCAAATCTTGGCACACTTAAAACCAGAAAAATTTATAAATAGTTTATAAATAGTTCACCACACTTGCATTTCTTCTGTGTAATGTATTCATGAACACACTCTAGAACTTAAGGGTTCTTCACCTGTCCCCATGGGAGAACCTTTTGAAGAACCCTTTTTGGTTCCAGGTAGAACCCTTTTGGGTTCCATGTAGAACCCTTTCCACAGAGGGTTCTACTATGGGGACAGCCGAAATACCCTTTTGGAACCCTTTTTTCTAAGAGTGCAGTTATACAATATTATAATTATTTAGGGAAATTGACATCATGCAACAGACTTGTGCATTGTGATTGAAATGTGTGCTTTAGGGTTATATCGTCTCAAGTCACAATTAAACTTTACTTTTGTAAAAGTCAAGTCACTGAATTTTTCTTTCATGCAACGCAACCATGTTGTTCTTTTGTTTTGTTCTTTGTAGAAAGACATAAGGAAATGATGGTGTGTTCTATGATTTATTGTCTGAGTCAGGGGATCAGCATTCAGACTCATCTATAACAATGATACTGCAGTATTACCGGTTTCTGAACGCTTGGATCAAAATAGTCTTGTTTTTCCTGGCTGATTACTAAGACGAGGGTTGCAGGGTCGTTCCACGAATAGAGTGCCTTTTACATCACGTTGATATTTCTGGTATAAATTGTGCACCAATATTGCATTTTAAAAGCCTGTTATATTAAATGATCTTATCCTTGATCTCGGGAGAAAACTGAGAGAACAGAAATGTTATTGTGTCAAGAATGCTGTAGGTGGGTGTAGTGGTGGAATCAAGCGCAGGACACCGAAGTATAGTCCAAAAGACTAGTTCAAAATCCAACAAGGAAAATACGAACAAAACTTGGCCGAAGGCGAAAACTACGCACGAAGGCGACACAAACAAAAGGCGCACTAAACATGTGCGTAAACGCTCCAACACAGTGGAGTGAAGCTCAACCGAGCGAAAATACAAGCACAACACACGACAGAAAATAATCACACACAAACACAGACACACCCAACGAGACTTAAATAGAACACTAATGAGGACTAACTAGACACAGGTGTACAACATCAAGACCAAACCAAACGAACATGAAACATAGATCGGTGGCAGCTAGTACTCCGGGGACGACGACCGCCGATGCCTGCCCGAACCAGGAGGAGGAGCAGCCTCGGCCGAAACCGTGACATATTGTTGATAAGTTTGGATCGGTTCAACCTAGGTGTGATTAGGATGTGCTTTTTCTCCCCTATTTCTATTGACTTTCATCCCCAGACAAACACATATGGTCTATTTACAGTTTCCATTACCACGTGTTGTTGGTTTAGGTTGGGGTGAGTCGGTTGTGTTATTATCATCAAGATAATGTTGAAGTGTTGGATATGTTTACTGTATTGAACTGAATCTTAATTAGGGTTGGATCAAAACACATAATGCTACTGTACATACACAGCCCTCAAACTCAACTCTGAACCTCCACAGTTCCACTGCATTTTTTAATTGTTCCCCTCTAATCAGGGACTGATTTAGACCTGGGATACCAGGTGTGTGCAATTAGTTATGAGGTAAAACAGAAAACCAGTAGGCTCTGGACCTCAATGGGTAAGAGTTGAGTACCCCTAATATACAGTGCATTCGGAAAGTATTCAAACCCCTTAACTTTTTCCACATTTTGTTACGTTACAGCCTTATTCTAAAATTGATTAAATTAAATATGTTTATCATCAATATACACACAATACCCCATAATGACAAAGCAAAATCCGTTTTTTATCTATTTGTGCAAATTTATTAAAAAACAGAAATACCTTATTTACATAAGTATTCAGACCCTTTGCTATGAGAGTCGAAATTGAGCTCAGGTGCATTCTGTTTCCATTGATCATCATTGAGATGTTTCTACAACTTGATTGGAGTCCACCTGTGGTAACTTCAATTGATTGGACATGATTTGGAAAGGCACACACCTGTCTATATAAGGTCCAACAGTTGGCAGTGCATGTCAGAGCAAAAACCATGAGGTCGAAGGAATTGTCCGTAGAGCTCCGAGACAGGATTATGTCGTGGCACAGGTCTGTGGAAGAAGTTTGGAACCACCAAGACTCTTCCTAGAGCTGGCCGCCCGGCCAAACTGAGCAATCGGGGGAAAAGGGCCTTGGTCAGAGAGGTGACCAAGAGCCCGATGGTCACCCTGACCGAGCTCCAGAGTTCCTCTGTGGAGATGGGAGAACCTTCCAGAAGGACAACCATCTCTGCAGCACTCCACCAATCAGGCCTTTATGGTAGAGTGGCCACTCCTCAGTAAAAGGCACATGACTGCCCTCTTGGAGTTTGCCAAAAGGCACCTAAAGGACTCTCAGACCATGAGAAACAAGATTATCTGGTCTGATGAAACCAAGATTGAACTCTTTGGCCTAAATGCCAATCGTCACATCTGGAGGAAACCTGGCACCATCCTTACGGGGAAGCATGGTGGTGGCAGCATCATGCTGTGGGGATGTTTTTCAGCGGCAGGGACTGGGAGACTAGGATTTAGGGAGAGATGAACATGGAGGGGTAATGGTGACTGGGGTAATGGTGACGAGTCAGGATAGTGGGAACATGGAGACGAGGCAGGGTACGGGGGACATGAAGACAAGTCAGGATACTGAGGACATGAGACGAGGCAGGGTACTGGGGACATGGAGACGAGGCAGGGTACTGGGTTAAGGGTGACGAGGCAGGATACTGGGTTAATGGGGACGAGGCAGGATACTGGGTTAATGGGGACGAGGCAGGGTACTGGGGACATGGAGATGAGGCAGGATACTGGGGACATGGAGACGAGGTAGGATACTGGGTTAATGGGGATGAGGCAGGGTACTGGGAACATGGAGACGAGGCAGGGTACTGGGAACATGACGTGACTCCCAAATAAGTCAACACATTACTTTGTCAGAATGTGCATAATGTAGATACAGAGCTTTGAGTATTTATATGATTTTTTGAAGAGTATTTAGTTCCTGTTTCTAGTTTTTTAAGAATCAAATCATTGTATAAAAGTTGTTGAGTGTTGACTCTGTTGGAAATATCTCCGCTAAGCAGCGTTGACTAAAGGACCTCTGTCAACAGTAGATATTGGACTGCGTTGCTCAGCCGCAGTTTCAACTACTTCCTTCCTCACTCTGTCAGTGTGTGTTTGGGTCTTTGAGTGTGCTTGCCTTCCTGCCTGCGGACGCACGCGCTTACGACCTTCACAAGGGCTGCGAGAGTAACTGGGGAGCTGGACCTGACTGCAGCCAATCGATCGCTCGCCCTCACCACCCCTCTTCCGCTCAGCAGTCTCTCTCCAAACGCACATGCACACCACACACTCCTCACCACCTCATTGCCCAAATAGACTCACATATGAGTGACAGGGCCAATTTCTCTCGCCTTCCACTCCCCTCCTCTAATTCATAGCCATTGATTTACACTTGGCGGTCTGAATGCTCTTTACACACACACACACACAAACATAGCTCCTTTGTATGGATCACAATGCAGACACACACTTGGTGTCTCAGCACATGGATTGAAGGAATGAAGGGACTTTCTGAAGGACTGTAGAAGGTCTTCAGATGTGTAGCACAGTGTTTCCCAAACCTCTCCTTGAGTACTCCCTGCTGTTCCTCTTATTTTATGTATTCCAGTCCAAGTTCACCTGATTCAACTGATCAACGTCTCATCAATCCCTTCATTAGTTGAATTAAGTGTGTTAGTTCTGGATTACATCAGCTCATTGTGTCTGATTCTCTTTAGTTCTCCTTCGTCCTAGTTCTGCCTGGTTCTCTTTAGTTCTCCTTCGTCCTAGTTCTGCCTGGTTCTCTTTAGTTCTCCTTCGTCCTAGTTCTTCCTGGTTCTCTTTAGTTCTCCTTCGTCCTAGTTCTTCCTGGTTCTCTTTAGTTCTCCTTCGTCCTAGTTCTCTTTAGTTCTCCTTCGTCCTAGTTCTGCCTGGTTCTCTTTAGTTCTCCTTCGTCCTAGTTCTCTTTAGTTCTCCTTCGTCCTTGTTCTTCCTGGTTCTCTTTAGTTCTCCTTCATCCTAGTTCTCTTTAGTTCTCCTTCGTCCTTGTTCTTCCTGGTTCTCTTTAGTTCTCCTTCGTCCTAGTTCCTCCTGGTTCTTGTAATGGAGATCTGGCATATGTGGAATGGTCCTGGGTACTTGAGAAGAGGTGTGGAATGGTCCTGGGTACTTGAGAAGAGGTGTGGAATGGTCCTGGGTTCTCGAGAAGAGGTGTGGAATTCCCCTGGGTCTCGAGGAGAGTTGTGGGAAACACTGCTGTGATATTTTTAACTATAGCTATAATGTAACTAAAGTGTGTGTGTGTGTGTGTGTGTATTCAGGTGGGTCTCCAGGCTCTGACCCCCAGGTGACCAATGAGAGCGTCCGCAGCAGGGACCAGATCCTCCAGACTCTGACTGACCTGTCCAGGGCCTTCCAGGACATCGCTGACCGCTGTCTGCTGGTCCTCCACCTGGAGGTCAGGTACGTACAGACATGGACTCTCCAGGATAAACACCCAGCCTGGGTCATGTTCATAATGACCTTTCCCTATTGGTCAAGTACAGATAATACTACCTCCCGCTTCACTCCGTTTTTCTTCCGTTTGGTCACTAGCGAACACAATCTTGATTTATAGAATCTTCCTCTCCATGGTTTAACAGTGTTTTCAGTCTTGGTCCTGAGTGGGGGCAGACTGAGTTAGCAGGCTGTTGTTCTGTCAGACTATCATGTTGACTGTCAGACCTTGCATAGTTCCACCTATGAATTTCAGGGTGGTTACATTTGTTGAGCCCCGTCCCTCAACTTTATAGCAAACCAAGTGGCAGGGCTGTCGTTTTGGAATTTTAGAACCACTTTAGGTATGTATATGTGTGTGTGTATATATATATATATATATATATATTAGGGGTGTAACGATCCATCTACTACATCGATGTATCGATTTATATTCCTATGATCCAACTACATCGATCTGTGCTCGGCGAGTTGGCCTTTTGGACAACATATATCGATCTAACATCGTTTTAAAATGTAATAAATCGATTGTATCGATACTAGGAAATAACCCATTGGATTTAAGCACGTCAGACTTTATATGGATGTTTTTTCTTAGCACTTTTAATGATAAAGGCTTTAAACATTACTCGATTCAGTCTGCCTAGCCGTGACGTCATCGCGCCAGCAGCAGCGCAAAGGCGCCAAGACAACAAAACATAGCATGCCGGATAACAGAGGAGAAGCCGACGAGCGAGAAATTATCAAGCCACCATTGCGGTCCTTACAAGAAACAGGAATCTAGGAAACTTCACCTGCACTGTCCAGTATCCAGGTATTTATTTCAGTCACACTGGTTGAATTTTTGGCTAAAAGGTTACTGAATCGATTTAAAGTCACTGAATCGTTTCGGATCGTATCGTTCTAAATGAACCAATATCGTCCTTGAATCGTATCGACAACCACGAATCGTGATACAAATCGAATCGTTGTTAAAACGAATCGTTACACCCCTAATATATATATATATACAGTGAGGGAAAAAAGTATTTGATCACCTGCTGATTTTGTACGTTTGCCCACTGACAAAGAAATGATCAGTCTATAATTTTAATGGTAGGTTTATTTGAACAGTGAGAGACAGAATAACAACAAAATAATCCAGAAAAACGCATGTCAAAAATCGTATACATTTATTTGCATTTTAATGAGGGAAATAAGTATTGACACCCTCTCAATCAGAAAGATTTCTGTCTCCCAGGTGTCTTTTATACAGGTAACGAGCTGAGATTAGGAGCACACTCTTGAAGGGAGTGCTCCTAATCTCAGTTTGTTACCTGTATAAAAGACACCTGTCCACAGAAGCAATCAATCAATCTGATTCCAAACTCTCCACCATGGCCAAGACCAAAGAGCTCTCCAAGGATGTCAGGGACAATATTGTAGACCTACACAAGGCTGGAATGGGCTACAAGACCATCGCCAAGCACCTTGGTGATAAGGTGACAACAGTTGGTGTGATTATTCGCAAATGGAAGAAACACAAAATAACTGTCAATCTCCCTCGGCCTGGGGCTCCATGCAAGATCTCACCTGGTGGAGTTGCAATGATCATGAGAACGGTGAGGAATCAGCCCAGAACTACACGGGAGGATCTTGTCAATGATCTCAAGGCAGCTGGGACCATAGTCACCAAGAAAACAATTGGTAACACACTACGCCGTGAAGGACTGAAATCCTGCAGCGCCCGCAAGGTCCCCCTGCTCAAGAAAGCACATATACATGCCCGTCTGAAGTTGGAATGATTCAGAGGAGAACTGGGTGAAAGTGTTGTGGTCAGATGAGACCAAAATGGAGCTCTTTGGCATCAACTCAACTCGCCGTGTTTGGAGGAGGAGGAATGCTGCCTATGACCCCAAGAACACCATCCCCACCGTCAAACATGGAGGTGGAAACATTATGCTTTGGGGGTGTTTTTCTGCTAAGGGGACAGGACAACTTCACCGCATCAAAGGGACGATAGACGGGGCCATGTACCGTCAAATCTTGGGTGAGAACCTCCTTCCCTCAGCCAGGGCATTGAAAATGGGTCGTGGATGGGTATTCCAGCATGACAATGACCCAAAACACACGGCCAAGGCAACAAAGGAGTGGCTCAAGAAGAAGCACATTAAGGTCCTGGAGTGGCCTAGCCAGTCTCCAGACCTTAATCCCATAGAAAATCTGTGGTTCGAGTTGCCAAACGTCAGCCTCAAAACCTTAATGACAAATCCCTCCTGAGATGTGTGCAAACCTGGTGGCCAACTACAATAAATGTCTGACCTCTGTGATTGCCAGCAAGGGTTTTGCCACCAAGTACTAAGTCATGTTTTGCAGAGGGGTCAAATACTTATTTCCCTCATTAAAATGCAAATCAATTTATAACATTTTTGACATGCGTTTTTCTGGATTTTTTTGTTGTTATTCTGTCTCTCACTGTTCAAATAAACCTACCATTAAAATTATAGACTGATCATGTCTTTGTCAGTGGGCAAACGTACAAAATCAGCAGGGGATCAAATACTTTTTTCCCTCACTGTATATCGTAAAAAAAAAAAAAATGTTTTTATTATTATTATTTGATCAAATATTGAATTTGGCCTTTAGTACCAAATCCCATAGAAACGCATTTAATAACATTCATAAATGGCAAAAAAAGACAGTCAAAAAAAATTATTCATAAGGAACAAGGTTTTGAAGTGTCTGTCCTATATCTACGAGATATATGAAAGCTCAGGAAATATATGTAATTTTTTTGTGGTAGGCACAACACTACCTCCATACTTCAATTCGTATTTTAAACCAGTACCGGTTACCTTCAGACGAGTTAGTTTGTAGCCCAAAAGTTTGGACGCTACAAACAGAAGTTGGCACATCGACGGTACCGACTTCAGACGAGTCCCGTGACACTTGTGGAGACCACCATCGTGTTCGTGAGAGTCTCATCTTTCCATAGAGTGGTCCTTTGGGATGTCTCATGGTCTGACAAACACCGTGCGACATTAGCGGATGCGGTGCGTCAATGGACTCTAGGGGGTCAAACAAGTGCAAGACAATCTAATAATACACTCAGACCAATGTCTTCCTCTGGATCCAGTGAGTACGTCCATTAACGTCTAAAACAAGTGATTTACCAAGCAAACCCAGAAAACAACCAACTCTCTCCATCAACAGCCCCTAACAGCCCCTATCTCCTCATCCCTCTCTCCATCCCTCCAATCCTTCCTCTCCTCCTCCCTCCTCATCCCTCCTTCTCCTCCTCCATCCCTCCTTTTTTTTTTTTTCCCCCCCCCTTTCTCCTCCCCCTCCTCCCCCCCCCCCTTTTCCCCCCCCCCCCCTGGGCCCCCCCTCCCCCCCCAACCTTTCCCCCGGGGCCCCCCCCAAAATCGCCCCCCCCAAAAAAAAAAAAAAAAACCCCCCCCCCCCCCCCCCCCCCTTTTTCCCCCCCCCCCCCGGGAAAACTCCCCCCCCCAACCCCATCCCCATGAGGGAAAAAAAAATTTTTTTTCCCAAATTTTTTTTTTGGAAAAAAAGGGGGGAAAAATGATCCATAAAAATAAGGGAAAAACCCCCAAACAAAATTTTCCCTTTGCAAAAGGGTCAAATTTTCCCAAAAAGGGGGGGAAAAATGGGGGGGGAAAGGGGGCATTTAAGGGGGGGGGGGGGGGAAGAAAAAAAAAGGGGGGGAAAAGGGCCGGGGGAGGGGGGAGGGGAGGGATGGGGGAACAGCCCGAGGGGGAAGGAAAAAAAAAAATTTTTTAAAAAAGGGTTTGAAAAACTTTTGACCAAATTTTTTTTTTTTTAAATTTTAAAAGGGGGGTAAACCCAAATTTTTTTTAAAAAAAAAAAGGGGGAAAAAAAGGGGAAACGGGGGGGGGGGGGATGGGTGGAATTTTAAAAACCCCCTTTTAAAAAAAAATTTTTTTTAAAACCCGTTTTAAGAAAATTTGGGAAAAAATTTTAAAAAAAAGGTTTTTAAAACCCCCCCTTATTTTTCTCTTCCTCCCTTTTTTTTCCCCCCCCTTTTCCCCCCCCTCCATTTTCCCCCAAAAAAAACCCCCCCGATTTTTTTCCCTTTCATTTTTTTCCCCCCCCCCCTCTTCATCAAAAGGCCCCCCCCCTTTTTGGGAAAATTTTTTCCCCTTTTTCCCCCCCCCCCCCCCCCCCCCCCCCCCCGCTCCCCCCCCCCCCGGGGGGACCCCCCCCCCCCCGGGGGAACCCCCCCCCCCCGGTTCCCCCCCCCTTTTTTCCCCCCCCCCCCCCAAAAAAAAACCCCGGGGGGGGGAAAAAAGGGGGCAAAACGGGGGGGGGAAAAAAAAAAAAAAAAAAAACCCCCCCCCCCCCCCCCTTTTCCCCCCCCTCAATTATGTGATAAATAGAACTAACGTTTTAACAATTAATGTCAAACCCAACCCGCTTTTTTTATTACTTTAACTACTACTACTAGTTTTGAATGTTGTAGCCATCAATCACCCTATTGCAAGTATTTCATTTAAAACTTCCCCCTTTCTCTGTATGGGCCCTTACTTATTGTAATGAACGATTACCCGGCCAATCCTGCGATAGTGATGGGTTTAATGGTCGGTTTCAATATTTTTGGTTATCCGTCCCAGCTCTACTCCCGGGAACCTGATTCCTGACCATCCTGACTTCTCTACCAGTAGCTTTGGTGGACTCACACTCAAAAATATGTCTGTCTATCCTCTCTCTCCATCATCTGTCTATCCTCTCTCCTCCCCCTCCCTGCCCCTATCCCCCTCCTCCCCTCCTCTGTCTACCTCTCTCCTCCCCTCCCTGTCTACCTCTCTCCTCCCCTCTCTTCCAATCCTCTTCCGCCCTCCTGTACTCTCGTCTCCCCCCTGTGTCGTCACTACTCCTCCCCTCCTTTCTACCTCTCACCCCCTCTGTCCATCCTCATCATCGCGCGGCCGGTACCTCTATCGTCTCCCGTTCATCCTCACTCCCCCCTCCTCTTCTATCCTCACTCCTCCTCGCTCCTCGTCCTCTCCCCCTCCAGTATATTCTCTCCCCCCCTGTCTACTCTGCTCCTCATCCTCTGTCTATCCTCTACTCCTCCCTCCTCGTTTCTATCCTCCCCTCCTCCCCTCTCTGTCTATCCTCTCTCCTCCCTCCCTGTCTATCCTCTCTCCTCCCCCCTCTGTCTACCCACTCCCTCCCCATCCTCTGTCTATCCTCTCTCCTCCCCCCTGAGAATCACTCTCATCCGCCCCTCCGTCTATCCTCTCTCCCTCCCCTCCTCTGTCTAATCCTTTCCTCTCCTCTGTTATCCCCTACTCCTCTCCTCTGCTACCTCTCTCCTCCCCTCCTCTGTCTATCCTCACATCTCACCTCCGCTGGTCATACTCTCATCCTCCTCTGTCCAATCTACTCTACCCTCCTGTACCATGGTCTCCCCCTCCTCTAGGTCATCTCTCCCCCTTGTCTATCCTCTTCCTCCCTCCTTGTCTACTCTCTCCTCCCCTCTCTGTTATCCTCTTTCCCCCTCTGTCTATTCGTCTCCCCTAACCTCTGTCCATCCCTCTCCTCCCTCCTTGTCCATCTTTCCCTCCCTCCGGTACTCCTACTACCCCGTCCATCTGTCCAGCATGCTCTCCCTCTGTCCATCCTCTCTCCTCCTCCTCTGTCTATCCTCTCCTCCCTCCTCTGTCCATCCTCTCTCCTCCCCTCCTCTGTCCATCCTCTCTCCTCCCCTCCTCTGTCTATCCTCTCTCCTCCCCTCCTCTGTCTATCCTCTCTCCTCCCTTCAGAGTGCATTGTTTCCACTACCTGATTCCCCTGGCCAAGCAGGGGAACTATGCCATAGTGGCCAACGTGGAGAGCATGGACTACGACCCCTTGGTGGTCAAACTCAACAAGGATATCAGCGCCATCGAGGAGGTGATGGGCGCCGCATTGCAGCAGCACAAGTTCCAGTACATCTTTGAAGGTAAGCCTGTTGTTGGGGGTCGTCCATGATAATGTAATGTATTGAGAATGTATTGATCAGTGCCATTCCTTTTTATGAATATTTTATTTTATTGACGTAATGTTTTGTACTTCTTCCACCTGCCATGTCCACTCTGGTTATCGATAATAGTGTTGACTACTGGGATATTTACCTAATATGTACATGTATTCTGCAGTATGTGACTGGTATGTATTTTCTCTCCCTCCCTCTCTCTCTCTCTCTCTCTACCCACCTCTTCTCTACACCCCTCTATCTTAGCTCACCTCTCTCTAACTATCTTCGTTCTTTCTTCTCTCTTCTCTCGCTCTCTCTCTCAGATACCTCTTCTATCTATCTCTCTCTCTCTATATCTCGTCTCTCTCTCTCTCTCTATCTCTCTCTCTCGCTCTCTATCACTGTCTCTCGCTCTCTCTGTCTCTCTCTTCTCTACTCTCTCCTCTCCGTAGGTCTGCCACCTGATCTCCTGTATTCTGATCAATGGAGCCCAGTACTTTAAGAGGATCAGTGAGTCTGGCATCAAGAAGATGTGTAGGAACATCTTTGTCCTGCAGCAGAACCTCACCAACATCACAATGTCTAGAGAAGCCGACCTGGACTTCGCTAGGTGAGACATACACACACACACACACACACACACACACACACACACACACACACACACACACACACACACACACTCACACAGGAGGGGGAGAAAGAGACAGGGTAAGAGATGGATGAACATGACAGAAGGAGTGAGAGGGGAGACAAAGGGATATAAATAGTAAAGAGGAGGGAGGGAGGGAGGGAGGGAGGGAGGGAGGGAGGGAGGGAGGGGGAGGGAGGGAGGGAGGGAGAAAATCACAAGTTAGTCAGTGGGAGGCTCGTGTCTCAGAAGGACACAGGACATCTTTATTTGGACGGATCAATGTGTAATCACTGTCCTTCTGCCCTCTCTCTCTCCCTCCCTCTCTCTCTCTCTCTCTCTGTCCTGCATGTTCAACCATCATGCAGAACTGCACCAATCTATACCCCATGAGGGAGTAAGAGGACAAGATGGGAGGAGGTATGTCAATAAACCAGTCAAATGTCCACCAGTGTCCTCCAACGCCACTGACGTATGACTGGTATATTGACATATCAACAGGATTATAGTGGATGATGAACACCGTTTACACACCTTTTTGATGTGGTGTATAGCGTTTATTTACCTATATGGTAAATTAGCATTGTTAGCTTTTATATTGGACACTGTTAACCCAGCTTTTAATTTACCACTACATCCCTGCGATGCTTATCAGTGCTCTTCTAACATAGTCATTATAAGGGACCTTGACATGTCCTTTCAGGTATTTTTCTGGAGACTTATACCAATCGATTTTTTACCAAACCTCCGTCAAACAATATAAGGTAATTTATGGACTCACTGGACTGTAAACCAAAAGGCCTAAGACACCAAAACAAAGTCTAGGCTACCTCAATCCCCCCAAAACACAATCTGATGACGGTAGATTTTCACTAGTTTTGCCAATCTCCATGCGATGTCCTTCGATACAATGTATATTCCACAGATGCCGTCTCGTGATGGCCTCTCTCGCTCCCTCCCTCCCTCCCCCTCTCTCTCTCTCGCTCTCTGATGACAGTGTGGGTGGTGTAGGTGTTGATTGGGAATTGCAGTGTGCATTGTTTACACATTCATTGCTTCATTGCATTCTGATTGACCATCCCCCAGCTCTGAACACACACACACAACGGCGGGTGAGGAAAACCTCTTTCAAAAGACCAGAGAGAAGAGAAAGACAAATGGAGAATAAGAGACGAGAGATGTTCACCCTTCCTTCAGCCCAGTCTCAGAAGAACCAGTGAATAAAGGGAAGAAGAGGCAGACTGATAAGTGAAGGAAAGAATAGATAGAAGAGCGATAGAAGAGGGGGGAGAATAGAGGGGAAAGCCGTGGTGCTGTGAGTGGCTCCTGTTGACCCTGGAAAGGACACAGTAATAACCATCGATCCCAGTTACAACTGAGAAGCCCAATGGCCAGCAGCACTGTAGCTAGCTCTACCCAAGGAACACACACACACTCTTCTGTGTGAAAGGGAAGGGTATGGAAACAGTGGCACCCAGTGGCCAAAGCTACAGTAGCTACTGTATATCTGTAGTCAAGGCACTGCACAGGCACTGAAATACTGCTGAAATGTCACATTTCAATTCTGGTTGTTGAAT